TGATTATTCTGTTTAATGTAAATGAAAATACGATCATGTACTTCTTCCTGAAGTATCATTAACACATTAAAAGAGTTTTAGGTTTTAATTATAATAGCAATTTGAACCCCTTTGCTTTCGAAAGACCTCCACAACGTTACCCACCCCCATTAAAAAGTAATCATTTCATTTCATTCTATAAAGCAAAACTTGCAATTTTTCATTGCATATGTTTTACAAAAAACGAAAAAAAAACTACTGAACCAAACAGTTTGATATCAAATTTAACCCTCTTGCTAATAACAATATTTTTACTATGTAGTAGATTTTAGACCAAATGTAATAAAATTGTAATTTATTTGAATATAAAACCGCATTTTATGTTCAAATAAAGCCAAAAAGGTACTTTAACGTTTCAGATTTTATTAAATGCATTTAATTTAATTTTAATTTTCGTTAAATGCACCCAGAATTATTACTCATTAAAGGTTCAACAAATCATGTATGCGTTCGTTTATAGTGATTTTAGCTTTCTTTGACAGCCTCAACTTTATTAATTTATAATCTTTGGCTGACTATAGTACCTTCCAGCAATTCTTCAAAATGTTTAAAATATGCTGCATGCTTAACTAACAAAAATCTGCATCGAAAGAAAAGATCCTTACTACCCGTCCTCCCATCGTATATATCAAAAGTTAGATAAGAAGACTTTCAAAATAGACCACATTGTAAACTTCAAAAAAAATGTTATTATTATTAACTGCAATGTGACTTCATTTAGTATTCGGGTCGAAATACGACTTCGAAGCGGCACGTTTTTTTCATTGTTATTTCTTGCCTCAAAAAGAAAGATAAGTATCGTTAAGGTTTTCTTCCATTAAGCTTTTAATTTGCTTTGTAAGTTAGTGAAAACGTGTACCTCGCGCAGTTTTCTTTTCGCATCACTTCTTTTGGATTTTTGAGCCCACCAGCGGCCGAGCGGTAAAGTCGCTGAACACTGGTAGTTCGGTCTGAGGTTCGAATCCCGCGAACGGGCTGGCTGCATGGGTGTTTTCGTGGTTTTCCCCACGTGTATACGACCAAGTTTCCCTTAGAAAGTCCTCCACGAAGGCATCCCTCCTCTTAGGCAGATAGCTCTAGTGTGCTTTGCCATAATTAAATACACCACACCATCTTTTGGATTTTGACGAATATTTTAAAACTGTTCTTCCCAACATCTTTTGCATTTGGCCTAGATCAATGACATATCATTTCAGAAATTTTTTTCTGCCCCTTTTTTGCACCAATTATGGTAACTGATATAGTAACTAAGGAATCACTATTAGCTGAGTATTAAAACTAAGAGCCACACAAGTAAAATTATTCCGCACAGTTTCATCGGGACAAAATTTCAAGCGCAAAGAGAAAGTTCACATTACTTTCTAGGCGTATAATTTCTGGAAAGTACTAGAAAGCTTCCATTATTTTCTAGGCGTATAACGTTAAGGCATGTAGCAATTAGTTTTTTCAGGAGATCTATTCTGAAGCCAAGATGGTAGGCATCGAGTATTTTACTGTGAGCAATTACTTATCAGCAAATCAAATGTTTAATTATGTCGAATATTTTTTCCATGGGATTTCTAATTTTGGAGAGGAACATTGTTGTTTATCCAAATGACCTCGCACTCACAACTTAATGCATTCATCGGGAACGGCCCAAAACCCAACAATCATTTAGCCGTTTCGTCCTAGAGAATGTTGATCAGGATAAATTATGAAGAGTTATAAGGTATTTCTCCCACTTCTCTAGCGTACCTTCGTGGTGTAGTGGTCTGCACACTGATCCGGTATTTCAGAGGTCCGTGGTTCGATTCCAGGCGAAGGCGGTTGCATATTTTTCATCTTGTCTGCTTCCAATTAACCTAATGACTCCACAAGTGGCGCCCGAACTAAAAGGGTTGTGGATGATGATTCTCCGCACCCAGGATTTGGCGACTATGTCTCCTAAAACCCTAGTCGCCTTTAAAAATGGGAGTATATAAGGTATTTCTTCCACTTCCCTAGCGTACCTTCGTGGTGTAGTGGTTCTGCATACTGATCCGGTATTTCAGAGGTCCGTGGTTCGATTCCCGGCGAAGGCGGTTGCATATTTTTCATCTTTTCTGCTTCCAATTAACCTAATGACTCTACAGAGTGACCGAATTATCCACTCAAGAAAAAGAAAATTCTGACCCAGTCTCGAAGGCGAATATCCTGATGAACTGACCGGGGGTTTTTCTCTTCCATTTTGCCACCACCACATCTTTCGAGAGGGTTTTCGACTCGATAGTATATTAAATGTCCCCATGCCGCAAAGGCAGCTATGCTTTTAGAAACATATATTTCTTCTCTGGGATTCGAACCCGAGCGGAAGACTATGCCAGAAGGGTGAGTTGAAGAAGACATATGTTAAAAATCATCTTTTCCTGTATCTTTCTTTAATGCGGTTTGTTGATGAGAAAAAGGAAAGCATAGTGTGTGACATTATTCTCTATTTCATTTAAGCTAAACCATTTCGGCTTGCACATCTAAATGCTATTAACACTTCTTTTCATTATGCATTATGCAGTGGTGTAGTTTGAAAGTGCTTTTCAGTACCAAAATAGCTTCTTCCGGTATATTATCATTTGTAAAAGACATCAAGAAACTACCGTACAAATCTGTAAACTACCAGCGGCACGACAGTAATACATCTGCTATTTGATGTCTAAGAAAAGGGCGTAAAAAGTGAAGCAATTAAACCACATTATGAACCACATTTTTAAAGTGCTAAGTGTTGATAACAAATTTTGCGTCTTAACTTTCCTGTTGTACATTATCTAATCGAACTAATTTATCCTAAACTGGTTTGGTTTGTTAGATTACGGCAAAAGCACTCGAGGGCTATCTGCCTTAAGGGACGGATGCCTTCGTGGAGGACTTTTTAAGGGAAACTGGCTCGTATACACGTTACACATGTGAAAACCACGAAAACACCCATGCAGCCAGCTTCTTCGCGGGATTCGAACCTCGGACCGAACTACCAGTGTTCAGCGACGTTACCGCTCGGCCGCTGGTTGGCCTTATCTTAATCTGACAGATACTGTAGTGACGCTTAACATTTTTCTGGCAGCTGTTCGAAGAGTTCATATTTAAAAAAAAATATTGTGTATAAGCCGGCACATAACGTAATTGGTAATGTAGTCATTAGCGCGTGTAACGCGTGCCCCATGTGTATTATTTTAAGTAACGCATATATGATTATAAGGCAAAGTATGCGTGCCTATCTTGTTATATAGCATAATGTCATTTAAGAAGTAATAGCAATAATATAAACTATAAGTAATCCAGTTATAAAGTAACTTAGCAAGTTCGCAATACAATTAGCTTAACGTAGTATACCGTCAGGTTTATAACTCTTAATACGTGTAGATTAATGTCATGCATTATGTATGTGTAGTCTAATGTCATGTGAAGTGTAAAGTATATATATACTAATTCATGCAAGTATTATGTATAAGTTTAATGTCATGTCATATATCATGTATTGTAATGTTATTTTTCATGTATGCATTATGGCCTATGAACACCCAGGTCAACCATTAACATAAGAATCTGTAGAGAACCAATGTCAAACTGGAATAGCCCTTGTATGGCCATGTAAACTTTTTCATGAAGGCTCAGTAACTCCCGGTGCGCCCTTGTGGGACCCCAGGGAGTTCTTGTATCTATATAGGGGAGGGCGTGGGGCATATGCCTGTTTACCTCCGTTAAACACCAGGCGTCCCCGTCCTCCGTCACCTGTCACCTGTCTAAGCCGGCGTTTCTCATACTTTCTTCAAATGGGCATGACTTTATAAAGTAAAATTTTCAGCAAAATATCTACTCTTGCTCTCTTCGAAAGGAACTATTTTAGCGTATGTTATGAATAGCTTGAATATTTTTAAAATACGATTAATTAAATTTCATTTAATTTTACATCGGTCTTACATTAATAGGAAAAAGGAACTTCGAAAGGAACTATTTTAGCGTATGGTTATGAATAGCTTGCTTATATTTTTAAAATACGATTAATTAAATTTCATTAAATTTTACATATGTCTTACGTTATTAGAAGAAACCTGATATTCGTTTTAAATAATTCAAAGTAATTAGAGTTTAGATTTTTTCCATCTAATTAACTAAAAATTACTTAAATATTGAGAGTCGCATTAATGAGATGGATCAACCTACCGATTCTTGCTTAGCTATTTTATGCAGGAATGCATGTTCGTAAGCAGCACCGTAGTCATTATGTTTTATTGAAAAATAAGTATATTTTACTGAAGGAAATTGATAAAAATGAATTCCATATTCTAGAAATTAATGTCTCACGTCGTAATAATAGTAATGGCAGTGAGGGTTGCTGATAACAAGGCTATCTGCTCACCACTGCCGAGCAAGTAATATTCCTCCCTGCTTTCAGAATGCCTTTTTGGTGTAACGGTTAGCACACTCGGCGCGTATTCGAGAGGTCCAGGTTCGAGTCCCGGCGAAAGTACTGCCCATTTTTCACCTCTCCTGCTTTAAAAAGTCCTAATGACTCTACAGTAAGACCTCTGAATACTGGTATTTCAATACTGAAGAACTGGATGGAAGGACTGTGAGAGTTATCTCCTAGCTTTCCGGATTTTCAAAGTGAATATGAACCGGTTTCTCTAGAAAGTCTTCCACGGAAGCATCCCCCTTTAGCAAATGCAGCCCTCTTTTGCTTTGCCGCATTCAGTTAGACAAAGAATACTATCTGCTGTGCAAATCTTTCTTTGGAACTGAGACCCATAGAAAGATCCTGTCATACTCCTTGGGTCTTCCGTTTCCCCACGTGTGACACGAATACAAGCCAATTTTCCTTCAAAAGTATACCACGGAAAGTAATTTTGTTATTTATGCACTTTAACGGTAATAAATGGTGAAACAAATTACTGCTCATTTTAATTTTATATATTTTGAAGAATATGAGTATAAGAATACAAATTTTCTCACAGGTCAAGACGACGAGTGTACTTACGATCGCAAGCAAGGTTATGAGTGCGACTGGAGCGACAGCTGCTGCAATCACGACTGCAAATTAATTCCCAGGTCATGGAAAACATTCTGCGCTCTTGGAGATCCCAGCTGCGCCCCAGAGAATGCCTATTGTGATGGTAAGTCCCCGAAATGCCCTTTTCCGATCGGGGCTACGAGCATTACTGATGGTCAAAGTTGCGGACCCAGTCTTCTGAAATTCAATGGCGCTGGAACTTGCATGAAAGGATTCTGCAACAGCACCGTCTGTCGCGATGGCGGATTGCAAGACTGTACGTGCTCGCAGGAAAGTGCTCACGAATGTCGTGTATGCTGTAAGAAGAACAAAAAAGGGGAAACTGATGAGCTTTGTGTGCCTGCCGAATATTTCGGACTAAAACCAAAAAACGGGAATTATTTCTATCGGTATCCAGGAACTCCATGCCAATCGGTTCGCTTTGGTCACTGCAGCAGGTAAGACTAAATTACGCATTCATGAACTGTTTCTTTTTTGAATAAGCGTCAGGACTTTTGATCGTGCTCTTAAGGGGGCTTATACACCTTAAACCCCTTATGATCTTCGAATATGTGACTGTTGCAAAAATTGGGATATTCTATACAGCTGACTACATAATATAGCTGCTTTGGAAACTAGTAACCAGAAAGTTTGTGTTGCCACAAATATTTTTTTAATTTAATCCGCTTTGTGACAAAATGTTTCGTCATGTTTCCACCTCGCGCGCACGATATTTAAAGATGGCTAATGGTACATACTTGAAATTGGATGGAATTCTATATATGGGCACTATTTTCTAACTGAACCAAAAATCTGATGAATATTTTAATATTAAAAAATTTTATGCGCGAAAACATTACAGATTTTTATTAATGAAATACATTTTATAAACTCAACTCCAAATAAAATAAAATAAAAATTTAACATGAAATTCTTAGAATTTTTGATTCACAGTCGTTTCCAAATGTTATAAAAGCTATATATCAAATATGGAATTAAATTATGCAACAGAATGTTTTAAACTGTGCGCGCAAGGGGGAAAAATGACGAAAAAGTTTGTCACAAAGCGGATTAAATTGTAAAAACATTTGTGGCAACACAAACTTTCTCATTATATTTCAGAAAGCAGCTATGTTATGTAGTCAGCTGTGAAAAGTTGGAAGTAATTGCTTTTAAAATAAATAAGTTATTACTATTCTTGCAACAGTCACATATTTGAAGATCTTATAGGTTTTAAGGTGTATGAGTCCCCTTAACCCTTTCCGGCACGCTACCTTTTAAAGTCAGGAGTACGCAAGTAAAACTTGTGAAGATAGCACTTATCGTTTTAATTCTGTGAGTGTGCACAAAGTGGGCAGACTAGTTGAATAGAGCTTCGAAAAGAGTGCTGAAACGAGCATTTTTGTCAATTAACTGACTGATGAGATGCAGAGAAACTAAGAATACAGACTCTCAGTTGTCCTAGATTATCGGTGAGTCCGGTCTGGGCACACCTAGGGTTCGCCGTTGGGTTTTAGGCAAGATTTCAAGGTAAAAATTTAAAACTAATATAGAATAAGGAGATTAGCATACAGCCAAAAATATAACATAGAAATTTCTTTGCAAACAATTCCTTTTATACCCTAAAAAAATCTGGAAGATTTCTTTGAAAAATGAGGGTCTTAAAAACTAAAACATGGCTAAATATATGGACTGGTTGCGTTGATACTATAAAGAAGGTTCAGAGTAACCTGTACTATAAATTCTTTTACATTCAATTTTTCTGTGCGTACAGAAGGAAATTTTTAGGTGTGTCCAGACCGGACACACTGTACCGCAAAGGGTTAAAGAAGTCAAAACATTTCAACAAATTTTAAGTGACATTCAAAAGGAAAAATGCAATTTGATCTAAACCATGGGTGTCTAAACTATGACCGTTTCAGGGCCACATTGCAAAGAAAAAAATTTGCGGGGCCACAAATACGATATTTTTTAAAAATTAAAATAAAAATTAGCTTTGTTGTTTTATTAAAATAAGTTAACTTCTTTTCATTATTATTTTTTTATTTTGAATTGGATATGTCTAGGTACATATTTATTATTAATTTGTAAAAGTTTCATTTCATATTTCATAAAGATGGGAAAAATTCAAATTAATGACATGGATTAATTTGCTTTTGTTGAACAAGCAAATCGATATCGGCTTCAATAGACGAGGTTGCAATTCTTAATGCATTTCCAAGGTATTTGTCTGTAATCTTTGTCCTATTTTTGTTTTTTGTATGCTTCATTCTTGGAAATAATTGTCCACAAATATAGGTACTGCCGAAAGCTGGAGACATTAATAAAAAAACATAATTGTGAAAATTAGATATTTATCGCGGGGTAGATAATCATTATAAAGCTCCAGTAAAGAAATATTTTCAAATTTTTCTTTCAGTTGAATGTCTCTTTGCAGTTAATACATCATGACATACTAAGATGTTTTTACTTAAATTTTGATTTAAAAGTAAATGCCAACGAATCCCATTGAAATATTTATTTTTTTAATAAAATTTAAATACTTTCATAATTTCATTTTGGGCCGCATTTTAAAAACTTTTCGGGCGCACTTTAGACACCCATGATCTAAACACTGATTTTTAATGGAATTGCATTACAAAGCAAAATGATACCCAAGTTCGGAAGTTTTAATTTTGGCGCCCTTTTAGTAATGATTTTTTTTTTTTTTTATTTTAACATGCAAGTTATGTTACAACTTGTCATAATGTTAACATACAAGTAACATTATAACAAATTTAAAACATACAATAAAGGGAAATACCCAAATCAAAATTAAACATTGTTTTGCTTTTGCTAATTTAAATTATATAATTTATCTTATATATATACAGTGTCTCACAAAGTGATGGGACACTTGTGCTTTACAAAAGGAAACTGTAGTAAATAAATTTAAAAAACTGTAAAAATTTTTTTGTGGGTGTGTTTCATACTTAAATTTAGTAACAATTATTACATAACATAGATTTCTCAAAATATTAAAATATTAATTTAATAAAAAATACAATTGTTTAGAACGGAGCAAAAAATGGCCCATAAGTGATGGGACACTTACTTTTCCATCAAATATTTATCCAAAAAGTTTACTTTTTAAAAGGTTTTTAATATTTTGTTGGATTTCCTTTTACTTTTAAAACATGATTAAATCTTCTTGGGATGGATTCGACTAATTCTTTTGTGATTTCTGGAGTGATTTTACCCCATTCTTCTTGAAGCACCGATTTTAATTGTTGTTTTGAAGAAATGGTATGTTTGCGAATTCTTGATTCCAATTCTTGCCAAATATTCTCTATGGGATTTAAGTCTGGAGATTGTGTGGGTGTTTTTATTATTTCAGGACAGTTATACAGCAGCCAGAGTCTAACGTTCAAAGCAGTGTGCGTGGGGTCATTGTCCTGGTAGAATTTAAAATCGTTATGAAGGTTCAATTTTCGCGCTATAGATTTCAAATTTTCATTTAAAATGTCAATATACTTGTACTGATCCATTATACTATCAATAAAAACAAGAGTACCAACTCCAGCGGACGACATACACCCCCATACAATAACTCCACCATGTTTTACTGTTGGCACCAAGTTCTGTTTTCGAAATTCTTCCCTGGGTTTTCTCCACACCAAGATTCTACCGTCAGAAGCAAATATATTAAATTTACTCTCATCAGCAAATATAACTTCATTCCAGTAATCAGAATTCTTATTTATGTTGGATTTGCGAAAGCCAGTTGAATTTTCTATTCTTTTCACTACGAAGAATTTTTTTCCCGGCTGCTCTACCGTGATATCCAGCAGATCGAATTACTCTTCTAATAGTCTCAGGTTTAACAATTACTCCATATAATGCTTGTAAATCAGCAACAACTTTAGGAGCACTCATTCTTGGATTTTTTTAATATTTCGAACGATAATTCTCTTTATTCCATTGGATAGCTTGATGGTCGGCCAGTCTTCTTTTATCTGAATCATATGATTCTTTTTATCTCGTTTAATGATATTGTAAACTGTTGAATGACTCAAGTTAACTGTTTAAGGAGTTTCTCTAATAGATTTTTCACGTTCAATATGCAAATCAATAACTAATTTTCGAATTTCAGGCAAAGTTTCCTTTCGTTTAGCATTCATGGCTGCACAGAGCTAAAAAACACAAAATTTCCAAAACAAACTGGAGAGAAATACTGCAGACGATTTTATAAATTATTGCCAATTGCTTTTGAGTAAAAATAAAAACCCAAAAAAAAATATTTTTATTGTAGTGCGTAGTAGTATCTAATGGTGTCCCATCACTTATGTGAGCCATTTTTTGTTCCGTTTTAAACAATTGTATTTTTATTAGATTAATATTTTAATATTTTGAGAAAATGTATGTTATGTAATAATTGTTACTAAATTTAAGTATGGAACACACCTACAAAAAATGTTTACATATTTTTTTAATTTATTTTATTACAGTTTCCGTTTGTAAAGCACAAGTGTCACTTTTGTGAGACACTGTATATATTTATACCCAGTCCCTTTATTCGGCTTAACATTAATATCCCGCCTTTATTTTCGCAATCGTAATTACAGAAGTGTTTTAAATAGTGAAAATATTTTTGGTTTGGCCATGGCAATTTTTTTTAAACACTGATTTTGTACAAATAACGACATCTAACTTTTTAGTGCGGTGTCTCGGTTCTTATACTTGTATTTCGGAAAGTTTGTAATCATTATGAAAAAATAAAGATACAAAACGTTTGATTCTCATACAACGAATTGACCGGAGTATTTATTTTCAAAATCTGCAATTTTTGATGTCATCTTCAACTTGCCTTAAGGTATTATTTAAGTAAGTTAATAAGTTTAAGGGGAGTTGGAACACCAAAATCTTCAAAAAATTGTAATTTCAGATTTTTGCATTTTCAAATTCTCTACACTTTTATCTTTCTAAAAATACCATTCTTTAATCTCTATGAAATTAGAACTGTAAAAAAATTTAGTTTTAATTGTCATTGCTTGCTTTGATCAATGAGGGATTTTTACATAAAAACGCGTTTTTTTCTCCAAACGGAATTTTACTACTCTATGTACCTTTTCTCAGGAACCACCGCTCACCAGGTATCTAAGTTTTTAGGCTTATTTATTAGGTTCCCTAATTTACTGAAATGCGATTTTTGAATAAACTTAGAAAAAAAAATTTTTTTTTTTTTTTTGTGTGAGAAAAGTGCTAAATTTTACTATGCCTAACAAAATATCCTGTAATTTAATCTAAAATTCAAAATATTTCAAAAGCTCATTTCAGCATAATCAGATAGGTATGATTTAATTACAGAAAAAATTTCAAGCTTGTATCTACAGCAGATTTTGAAAAAAGTTACATCGAAAATGGCCAATTTAACATTGTTGGTATAGGGGTTTCTGATACCCCTTAAATAAAGTGCAGC